TCCATATAAGAAGAGAACATGATTATTTCATAATCTTTAGTGATAATAGTCACATTTTGATTATGTAAATAAGACATAATTCTAAAGCATTTAAAAAGTTCAAAGAACTTAGATTTAAAGTCAAGAAATAAACTAGCAAAAGTATAAAGGCATTTCGATGAGATCAAGTCGATGAATACTTAAGTAATAAATTTTAGATCACCTAAAAGAGAATGAGATTCTCTATTAATAGACATCACATGTTGGATATGGTCCATAATGAGTCAAAATTTATATCCCCATCTCACTTTGGGATAATCACTCTTTGCTAAAACCTTTATTTTGAATAAGGTTCCAATTAAGTTTATTTGATTAGACTTCATATGAGATATGAAAAGAAAAAAATAAATTTTTATTTCTTAAATGATTTAAGACTATAAAATATATGTCAAACGATTTGACAAAGAAAAGCTAAAACCTAAATTAATGAAGTGTAAATACATGAGATATCCAAAAGAAACAAATGGATATTATTTTTCTAACACTAGAAGAAAGTATTGTTCGTGATTGGGCATGATAGTTTCCTTGAGATGGAAAATATGATTGCTAGAAACACTAAGAGAAAATTAGAATTTAATTAGATTTGAGTAGACTCATAAATTAACACTCCGAAGATGGAATCCCAAGTAGATAGGTTAAAAAATATTGTAACCACCCATAAACAAGACACAAGAAATTTGTAAGTCTTAAAGGAGTTCGTCAAAGGACAAATGGATATGATATTTTTGTTTTAATACATGATGATGTGTACCCTAAAAGTGACGATGAAACTAACACTTATAAAAAGATAATGCTAGATATTGACTCCTAGAAATGACAAATAAAGAAGGTGTGTAAGTGACTTACGTTGATAGTTCTAAAGAATATGCAAATAAGATTTACTAGATGCAAAGGTCCATTCATAGACTTTAGCATACCTCTAGGAATGAAAATCAATGTTTTGGTGAAATAATCTAAGAGTTTGATATTTTTACAAAAAAAATGTAAACCTTGTGTATGCAAAAGGTTAATAGGAACCTATTAGTCATGGTTATTCTACATGAAAAATTAAACAAACTACATCTCGACTTTGAACATTATCATGTTGCAATCTATAATAGATTGAGATATCTAAAATAATTACCCTAAGTATGACATGGGATGGCAGTCTACACTCTAAGAGTCGAGATCTATAGAGATAGATCACTTAGAATGTGAGGGGTCTCTCAAGACAGATACATTGATAAGATACTAAAAGGTTTAGTATGGAAAAATAAAAAAAAGTTATTCTAATGTTATATAACTTGATGGCTAATAAGAAAGGATCCATAGCACAAGATAAGGAACCGAGGTTTCATTAACGATCTAAGTATGTACTACGACGCTACTATCCGATTAAAAAGATTATTAGTCATGAAAATATAAGGATAGATAAGATCTACACCGATGATAATATAGCAGATCCTTTGACTAAGCCTTTGTCACAACCGAAACATGAGTTTTTTACCCGATTGTTGGGATTAAGGAACATGGCTAGTTGGCTCGGTGTAAGTGAGAGATTGTTAGTATAGTTGCCTAAGATCCAACCATTTTTGGATATGTTTGAGTTATTATATTATTGCATTATTTACTTTATTATTAATAAAAGAAGTCTTTCTATTAATTCTTATGTCTTATATTTATTTATTAAATATAATTAAATAGAAGTCTTTATGATATGCATTTGCATTAGTGATTGATCGAAAAATGTAAGACAAATACTAATGCATATAAATGATATTATTACATATCCTAAGTCGTAGCATTATCAAGAATGAACATTGACTATACATAGTTAGACTTGTGAGTTTCATGCTCATGTTATATGATAAGAGTAAGAGATTTTATACCGATTGATATGATGATGCTAAAGCAAACACTTAGGTGATTTATATTAGAGAATATATCACTAGACTTGACTCGCCATGAGAACTCATTTGGTTTAGTCTATGAGAATCTTATACGAGATGGTTACAATTGGTCCTTAAACTTGAAGTCATCACGCTTATTTCATTGAAGGATTTATGTATTTTGACAATCATTTCGATAGACCTAGTAAATGATTGAACATAGGCTATTTGTTGGGTACACTAGGAATCTAATGGAGGTAGGTGGATGACTAAGTTAGGACATGTCATTCTTTGTATGCTAAAGGAGTTATCATATTTCACTTCGATAAATGTCTCGCTCAATAAATCTGTGACAACGGTAGGAGTACATCAATAAAGCATAGTTGGTTTACTCTAAGAGCTAAGATATTTGGGAATCGAATAAAACTTGTGTGATCATAATTGAAAAAGACTAATAATCAAGTTCAAGATCACACTATGATAAGTTGACATGAGAATTGAATTATATGATACTCATGCTCATGAAAAGTAATTACGAATTAATTAATCCTCCTAAAGAATTAGATAGTAATGATGCTTTGCTAAAAGCCAATATTACTTTCGGTATCAAGAGATAAAAGAGGTGTCTTTATTCTTGATATGTTGCCAACATATCTAGGAGTCAATTGACTTACACGTATAGGTTTAAGCATTCACATAATAAAAGAGAAGCAAAGATGTTGGAAAATGTTTCCAATTTGAAGGTTTCCCATTTTGAAAAAAAGTATTGAAAAATGAAACTTTTCAAAAAGTTTCCTAAAATAGAAGTTTTCTAAAATGGAAAGTATCCTATTTTAGAAATCCGTTTCCTAATTTGGAAGTAAGTTCCAAATTTAGAAGTAAATAACCTAAAAAGAAAATTAGTTTCCTAATTTAGGTTTAAGAGTATTTTGGGAAATTATTTCCTAAAGTGAGCCACCTAAAATTATCTAACTTAATTTATTTGGATAGTCTAAATTAATTTAGCTAATAGGTTTAATTAAAAACATAAAAGATATTTTGGTAGGAGGATAAACATGAACCTTATTAGATCATGATGGATGTTTAAAAGATAGGATCAAAAAATTCACATGCATAATAATTCTTAATACTTGGAGGATTAGAAAGCAACAAAAAAAGTCCTTTTTAGGACTATTTATTGCCTCTTCTTGTCCTTATAGTAAAAGGAAAAACTCTCCTCCTATAAATACGAGAGGTGCGACATGAAGGGGATCAAGAGAGAGAGAGAGAGACAAGGCCAAGAGAGAAAATATTTAGGGCTACCTTACATTGAGAAAAATAAGGAGAAAATAGTTTTCTCCCTTCCTTGAAAATTACGCCACCTCTCTCCCTTCCCTTAAGGTTGTCGCAAAATTACCCTAATTAGATTTCTAAAGTAAAACACTAAACAAAGTCGAAAAGGTGGAGCTAGTACTCTACCAATTTTGAGTGCTTCTTGTGTGGTGCTTGGATTGCATGATAATCAATAGAGGTCGAACGCTTGAACTACTCCTTTTTGTTAAAGAATTCAAATCTACATTGCAGGAGGTAATTCTTTATTTAATGCTTTAATTCATGACTATATGGTTAGTTTATTCTGCATCTTTATAGAATGTATGGCCCTTCATATATATATATATAGTCAATGATTGGTTTTGTCATCGCTAGTTGGTTTAAAAAAAAGAAAAATTAAATATGAGCCATTCATTTAGTCAATTACCAAACTATTCTCCATTGTTTTACATATATATTTAATTTAAACACACACACACACACACACACACACATATATATATATATATATAGTCAATGATTGGTTTTGTCGTCGCTAGTTGATTAAAAAAAAAAAAATTAAACATGAGCCATTCATTTAGTCAATTACCGAACCATTCTCCATTGTTTTACATATATATTTAATTTAAACCGGTTATATATATATTTTTTTCAATGATGTAAAAAATGTGTTTGTTTAAAGAAAAATTAACAACTCATGAACAGAAACAATTATATAAAAATAGAAACAGAAAAACTATTTTCACAAATAATTCAAAATTCACATTATCTAAGCTAACCCTCACAACAAGGGACCATCAACTAGTATTTCATTCAAATAGAAACTGATCTTATTATACACATGAACAAGAATAACATGAAAGAAGGGCCAAGCACTTAATAAATTAGATAACTGCAAGTGCAAGAATTTGCTTTGATATATTACAAGTAGTGTCAACCCACATCCCACAATATGGAGGTGAAAGCACTATGGCTATCCTACCCTTTCCACTAATAGCAAGAGGATTACTTCGGCTACTATCCTGCTAGATATGGGATACTTTTTCCTTCATCTCCAATTGCTATGTAATCCTGGGAAGCCTTATTTCAAAATGCTTGCTCACAATTATCTTGTCCATTGCTTCGCAAGTTGGAATAATTGATCTTCCTTTCAAAATTTACAATGCCTGATATCTCAAGCTGCAATCAGTTGGGAGTCATAAACGGGTCTTCGAGCTTGTCCTCCCTACTGTCACGAACTCACTGGTATGTACTTTCGAGATAGGCCTCTTCTTCACCTTATATCACATAATTGCAATTAAAATTTCACGTTCGACAGTTAACATAAATTCTATGTTTAATTTCAAGTATGCTACCCTCATATGCGAAATAAACAAAGAAGTCAGGCAGGCAAGCCCCAGCTCAGACATTCAAGTTTCCATCAGTATAGGAGCGAGGTTCATTGCCAATCTAGGAAAAGATTTGTTCATGATTTCACATCACCAACATAAGAACAACTTATTTAGAATGACTACATGAATGATTTATAACTCTTTCACACCCTTCAAGGATGATAAAATCAAATGATTTCCACAAAATAATAATAATAATAATAATAATAATCAAATGGTTAAATGCTACTGATTACAGCTGAGTGCCATGCTCAGCTTGCAACTAAGTGACGGTAACAAACATAAAAGCACTTCATAAGAATTTTAAATTTCAAATGCACCATTCAGAAAAGTCTACTAAATAGTCATTTACCTCTTCATCTTCATTGGGAACAGAAGCAGCATCAGATATTTAGTAAAAGGCTTTGTCCACATCAAATTTCTTGCCAGCTTCCTTCTCCTCCTGGTATTAGCAGAAGATATATAAGAATTCATAAAAAAATATCATTTTTGAACAGAGTTATTTCTCCTATGCATCAGAGCATCATCGAAAAAATGTCAAATAGGAGTCATACAAGTTCAGACTGGACCAACTCAATTTTTTCCTGTAAATCTTCGATATGATGCTTCAGAGCCTGGAAAAGAGAGAAATCAGGTGGAAAGACAGATGACGTATATCTTATTTCACCATGAAAAAGCATGAACATCAAGAGTAATCTATTGTTGTCTTACCTCACGTCTCTGAAGTTCCACTGCCCTGGCCAATGCCTGCCTCCTTGTCAATAAATTCCCAGGTCTCATTGCCTGCGGGCGCATGTAATTCTTTCCACGATAGACAATTATGGCATAACCTTCCATAGTTCTATCCACAGACACTAATACACCACCACTCTCAGCCTCCAAAGAAATTGCAATGTGCTTGACTTGTGTAATACCCTTTCGTTTCACAATTATCTTCACCAACTCACGATACTTCCAGTGCAAGTGCATATTTTCTATGGTACCATCGAAAACCCCCGCCTCCCTGTAACAGAAATCACAAGGATATTTCACTCATCCCTAAAGAAACCATCATGTCCAGAATTAAAGATGCGTTTCTTACCTAGAAAGAGATAAGCTTTCATACTCAGACCAATCTTACGGAACAAGAACCTCTCCTCATCGCTTATGGTTTCCAAATCTGTTGGGAGCTCAGTTGGTTCCAGATTCTCCTGCACTTTTGCCAAAGCCTTCTCAGCTTTTTTGAGTTTTCCTTTTGCCTAGAACAATTTCAGAAATTTCTCAGATATCAATAAGTTCAGAGGAGCTCCTTGTGTCCCAGAATCTTTTGCATATTATTCAGTTTTGTGCTTCTTAACTTACCTGAGATAGTTTATTCTCGAGATGTTTCACTAATGAAGCATGTCTAGCCAGAGCTGAATCTCTTAACATTTCCTCCACATCTTCACTACTTGGTTGATTCCCCCAGCGAGAGGAAGCTGCCACAGTTTCAGCAAGTGTTCCAGCAACCAAGAGGCCTTCAGAAGTTTTGACACTTGATCCAATAAAGGATGAGGCCATCTGACGGACTTGGTCTTCTTCATCTTGATAGAGAAAATTTAGTTTCCTCCTCTCTTTCAGTGTCTCATTAATAGCAGGTGGCAAAAAGTCATTACCCCTGTAAAATACGATGTACTCCTTGTTTCTTGAAAGTATTGTCCCCCCGTCAACCTCTGCATGCAAGAAATCCAACTTTCATCACAAGAACAAAAACAGTGCCACCAACCACAACACATTCAGAATGTTATATGCTACAGGGTGTAGTTGGAATTGGCCAGCAAGAACAGAGAAGATTACCCTCAAACTTTAATGGAATAGAATGTTTAGTAGCCTCAAGCTACCATGACAAATAGTACATGGTTTGTTTGTTTGGTTTTTAACAATTATTTTATCTGGTGCAAAAGAAAACTTTTCTTTTATTTTGTCATGAAAATGGAAGCCATGAACTTGTATTTTCTACAATCCTGAAGCCATGTTAGTCTATCTCAAGATGGATATGCACTCTCACAAAAACTATAACATCAATATCAAGCAGCCTGACACAATTGTCAATGCATTGAACAAAAGAAAAGGATACCTTTCATCTTATCTTGTAAAAGCAATACCCAAATCAATTGTAGGATTAAACACAAAGTAATAAACAGTACATTAAACCACCCAACCCCACTTAGCCACCAGTCTCTTAAATTTCTGATTCATACCAGAACAACCTTTGAAATGCAGAATTATGTCACACGATATATGGCCATACTCAGACCATTTCCATGCAGGTGCAGGGATTAACATCAGTCGGCAAAACTGGCATCTTCCAAATTTCTCAAGTATCAAGCCCTATTAATATACTATCTCCATTCAAGAAGCATCTCAGTTCGTTCGATCTCACCTTGAGTTCTTCTGCCATAATTTCATTACGTGTATACTGTACTCCACGTTTGATGGCTATCTTTGCAATAGCACTTCTTTCCCATAGCTTCACCATAGCCTTTGCCAGACCTTGCAGTTCTCTGTTCCTCCCTACCAAAATAATCAATACAAACTCTTTAAGGAAACATGATTTGATGAATACAAATATAGCCAAATTAGCTCTTACATACCAAGCACAAAATGAGGAGGTGTTGCTCTTGCAAGCCTGCGGAAATTTGTAGTCTCTTTGTTTCTTAAACAAGGTTTTACCCCATAAGGAAGAAGTCTGAGAGGAGGTTTATATCCATGAAGCACAGCAGGAAGCAAGTCTGCATCAACAGGCAATGGCTCGCAGCCACACCAGTCTTTATACCGTGGACCCAACTCATCTAACAAATGGTTGAGTTCACTGAAGTCCATGAGTTCTTCTTGAGTTAGATCCTTCAAATACTTTGCAGCATCAGGTATAAATGATTCCATATTTCGAGCTATGTCCTTCATTCCAGCACTGTTTGTACCATCATTAATTGCTTCTTCTGCATGTCGCATAACATCCATACCAGTCTCGTTTTGCTTTGTATATGACTGTACGCATTGAAATTTGTAGGTTGTTCCTCTGTACAATACCACTGAACTGCCCGATCTCCATATAATTAAACCTCCAGTTCTACTCTGATAGAGCAAAGTAAAATTTGAATAAGATGCTACCAGAATCTACTGCAAGTACCATCAACATAGAATTACACAAACACTCAAGATATGCTTAATAGAGAATAAGCAGAGTCTTTGAAATTTTAGTGCAATTTGTAAGACAAATCCACTCCAAAACTATGATTCATTTCCATTCAGAAAAGTTTCAAACCCCAAATTTCTGCAAAGTGTCAGCGAATTACCAAAGTCACTGAAAGCTATGAAATAATCAAAATTGTTTCATTTCTATGTAGCCATACAAAACGCAAAGAACCGAACTGTATACAAAAACTGACCTCCAAAATATCATGGGTCCTTTTCATGTTACATGAAAGAGGCCATTCGAACTTCAACTTCACCACTTCATCCAGCTTCCACTTCTCATGAATGGCATCCACCAAATCCTGCGTAATGCCTGTGGCCCCAACTTTTATCCTCTCAAGCATCCTCAATGCCACATTCCTTAGCCTCTTCAACTCATGCTCGGGCACCATTCGCTGTGCCAAATCGGTGTTGCTCTTCTTTCTTCTCTTATCTTCTCTTGCAGAGTCTAGTCCACTCGTTCGCTTCCATGGCAATTCATTTGAATGACTAACACCTTCGTTAGAAACCTCAACATTTTCAAAATCCCCAAGTTGTTTCTTAGTCACAGAAACTACATCATTTAAATCCTTCCATGACAAATTTTCAAATAAATCACAATGACCATCATTATAAACCTTAATATTACCAGAATCTCCATCGCCACCATCGAAAGGTTTCTCAGTAAGCGAAATCACGTCATTTAAATCCGTAACTATTGACATCTCCTGACCTCCTGATAACTCAACTGAATTATAATGAACTTTTTCCTTGAATTTGTTTAAATTGCAACTAATTTCCTTTGCTATACTTTCTTTTTTATCAGCAACACCACTTGCAACATTATCTTCTTCGTAATTCTTCACAAACCCATGAACAGCACAATCTTTTATCTCCTTAGCTTCTGCTAATTGAAGAACAGAAGCGTCATCAAAGTCGACAACTTGTTCCTTAAAGTTGTTATCCAAATTGATTTCCTTCCCTATTCTTTCTTCTTCATCAAGAACCCCATTTACAACATTATCTTCAGGATACTCAAAAGGCCCATGAATAGAGTTATCTCCTTTTCTAGGTTGATGATCGAAATGGGCCTGTTTGGCTGTGATTCCATGAATCCAAGGAGGTGTAGTTAAGCGATTTGGTAAACTGAAACTCACAGTATCACTCACAGATGGGCTTGCATCAACATATTTTATGCCTTCCTCTTCCTCTTCATCTTCCTCTTCTTCTGTTTGTTGTTGTTCTTGCCAGGGAAATTTGTCTCTTGTTGAAGCGAGATTGAGAGACCATTTATGGTGAATTTGTTCAAAGAAACTAGGCTTGGGCTTTCTCTTGGACTTTGTGGCATTAACCTGAACTATGCGATTAGAACAACAGTAAGTTGTGAATTTGAAAGTGATGGGAGAAGGATTCTGTGGCTGGATGAGAAGAGGGTTCAGGGATGAATGGCAAGTGTTGAAGGAGAGTGCCATAGCTGTGACTCTTTAGTGTGAACTCATCTCTTCGCTGGTGTTTATAGTGTCATTCTACTTTTTTCAGTCTTAAATTCGTTTTTCAAGTCCGATTTCATTTGTTTTTTTTTAAGTCGCACAATTAATTTCATAGAATTGAAATACACGTCCACTTGGTTTTTTCCATCTTAATCTCGTCCTTTTTTTTTTTTTGGACAAATTTAAGTAAAATCATTCTCTCTAATTTTTTTTTTAAAACCAAAGATTTAAGTAAAACCATTCTCTCTCAAAATTTTTTTAAAAAACCAAAGATAAAAATTATTTTTATCTTATATTTTGTTACAATTTTTTTTTTAAATTTAACTCCAAACTAGAAATATAATTTTTGTATATTTTTCACTAGAATTCCCTTATGGAGATGAGAAAAACCCCAAAATTTACAGCAGAATTTATATATCTAAAATTTTTTAAACAAAATCTATATTCTTATTTTTAGTGAAATTAAGAATTTGTAAAATCAAAATAAGTAAATTATAATATATTATTTTGAGATAATATAAAATTATAAATACCATTCAAAAATTTAAAAATTTAATTAAAATTTTCTTAATGTAATAAAGTGTTTTTTTATATTTTTTAATAAGTTAGATAATAAAAATTATTGAATACAACTTTTGTTAAGATTTTTGATGAATTTAAATAAATTTTGAGCATTTTCTCCAATATTAGATATCTTTGCATCCGACTTAGAAATGTGTTTCGTATTCTTGAATTAGCCTAGATTGTATTGAAGTTCTAAAACACACAAAAATCAATCAAAATTAGTATTTATTTTTATTGTTTAAATATAATTTTGGCTTTTAGGATTTATTATTTGTGACTTGATTTTTTATCTTTATAAATCTAATGTGAATTTAGTATTAGAGTTGCTAGTAACGAGAGTGTAATAGACTGGTACCCGCTAAAAACTAAAATTAAATAAAATTTTAATATTAAAGACTCGTGAAAAATATATAGGACCTAGACATTATTAAAGAACTTCCGTAACGTAAGGTCACTTAAATCAACTATAGAAAGGTCATAATGCCTTGCGAGATTGCTTTCATTACACTTCGAATATGGGTTAACAACAATAATGTTCTCAACTTATTATGTCTTAGGTTGGGAGTGTTACGGAGAGTAAATTCCAAATGTATTAAAGTTCTAATGGCTTCTCAAGTCTCCTATAATTCATCTTACAACAAAAGAAAGAAGTTACTAGTAATCAAGGTGCAACTTGAGCAAGGTCAACTGCGAGACTTGACCTCCAACAATCCACAAAACAATATGAGAAATTTCAAAAAAAAAAAAAAAAAAAAAAAAAACAACTTTGAATCACTAAAAAAATTTAGCCTCAAGTTCTTCTTCTTCTCTCTTCTAAGAGTTGTTTTTTTTTTTTGATTTTTGATTTTTTTGATTTTTTTTTTTGGGATTCAATCACCAAAATATGATAAAGATCTCTTTGAGTTTGATGCATGTGAAAAATTTTGATTTTCTTATGAACTTAGACGAGTGAGATTTAAGTCTAAGAGTCCGAAAGTGAGGATGACTCATCCGATTTTGTTGCAAATTCAAATCGTTGGACAAAAATTTTGGACATAGGGTTGACTTGTTTTCTAATTCAATTACAAAAGAAAAAAAATCCTAATGTTAATTGAGATTTTTCAACAATTTATGATGAAGAACCTATATCTTCATTGTTGTTTAACAAGTTCTAGTATAATTCTTCAATCAACCAAGATCAATTGCCATCACTTTTGGAAGAAGAGTTTAGTATAGAAAAAAAAAAGTGATTGTGTTAAAGGAATATATTGTTCAAGTTGTCTAGTTGGATTTCAAGTTCTTTCTTTTCATGAAGATCTTTTTTATTTTTCTTGTCTCAATTATTTTAGCAATTAGTTGATTATGGAGAACTACAAAAAAAAAAAAAACAATAACTAGATAACATCGAAATCGGTAACGATATGAAGTTGTCGGCATATAGTGATGGATTAGCTAAAGATTAACGATTGTTATAATTTTTTTGACATTTTAGGTCATGTTCACTTGTCGTACCGTCAATAAATTATTATTTTTTCCTTACTATACTTAATCACAAAACTATAGTTAGGGGAAGTCATGATCGATTCCATAGAGAAATGATTCAATCAATGTTTTCTATCTTTTGATTTTTTCAAAGTAATGTAAATAAAAAAGGAAAAAGGGGTTTGGTTTGTTGAGAGTAGTAAAGGTAAACTAAAGTAAATAGAGAGAAAACAATAATAATGAAAGCCTTGGTTAAAGGTTGGTTTTCCTTTTTGGTTCATCATTGATCATCGATTCAAATATTAATCCATTCTTATTAAAAATATTTATCATAAGATAAGAATATACATGTTATCCCTAATCTTTCCTTAGTGATTTGTTAATCAAATAGGTGTTATTTGATTAATCCCTAACTATTGAACTTAATAGATGCAATCTAGATTTAATCCAACAACGGTATTAAATCTGCTAGCGTTAGTGTAGGTGCCTAAAAGCTAACCAAGTTTGGATGGGTTTAAGTTATTGTATCATGACATGATTTATAATAAAGATGTCTTTCTATTAATTCTTTTCATTTACATTTATTGATTGAATAGAATTAGATAAAAGTCTATATGATATACATTTGCGGTAATGATTGATTGAAATATGTGAGATAAACACTAATGCACATAAATGATATCATTAAATGTCTCAAGTCGTAGTATTATCAAGAATGAATATTGACTATATACTTGTTAGACTTGTGAATGCTATGCTCATGCTATATGATAGCATTAGAAGATCTCACACCAATTAACATGATGATGTCAAGACAAGCACTTAAGTGATTTATGTTAAAGAACATATCACTAGACTTGAATTGTCATGAGAATCCATTTAGTTTAGTCTATGAAAATCTCATACGAGATGGGTACAAGTAGTCCTTAGACTTGAAGTCATCATAGTTATCTTAATAGAGGATTTATATACTTTGACACTCGTTTTGATGAACCTAGTAAAGGGTTGCATATAGGCGATTCGTTGAGTGCACTAGGAATCTAATGGAGGTAGGTGTATGACTAATATAGGATATGTCATTCCTTGTATGCTAAAGGAGTTATCGGATTGCACTTCAATGAATGTTAGCTCGGTAAATCTATGGCCATTGTAAAAGTACACCAATAGAGTATAGTTGGTTTACTCTAAGAGCTAAGACATTTAAAAATCGAAGAAAACTTATGTAATCATAATCAAACAAGACTTATAACCAAGTTCAAGATCACACTCGTGATAAATTAACATGAGGATTGAATTGTATGTTAACCATGCTTGTGAAAGGTAATAATGAATTAATTAATCCTCCTAGAGAATTGATTAGTCATGAAGTCTTGCTAAAGGCCAATCTTGATTTATGCATCAAGAGATAAAAGAGGAGTTTTTTGTTCTTGATACATTACCAATATATCTAGGAGCCTATTGAGTCACATACATAGGTTTAAGTATTCATATTATTAAGGAGAAACAAGACATTAGAAAAAGTTTGGCCAACAAAGGAAAAAAAAAAGAGGTAAAGGTAAACAACTAAGAAAGGAAAAAGAAAAAAAATAGTTTTTCCCCAAAAAATCCTAGCACGCCACCCTCTCTCCATTTTCTTTTGGGTTGTCACAAAATTATCTAGATTAAATTTCTATAGGAAACTCTACATAAATCATAAAAGGTGAAGCTAGCATTTTACCAATTTTAAGTACTTCTTTGTGGATGTTTGGACGGCGTGGATCATTAATAGAGACTGGACACTTAGATGAGTTTTCTACTAAAGAATTTAGATTTACGCTACAAGAGGTAATTCTTTATTCATTACTTTAATTCATGTATATATAATTATTTGATTCAACGGCATGATCTTGAGCCCTTTAGATGGAGGAAATTTTTTTTTTATTCTACACCTCCATAGGATGTAAGATCCTTCAATTGATATCAAAGCCTCCGTTGAATCTTTGATTTTATGTTATGTTAATTATAATTAACTACATGAATTAACTATGTCCGATTATAAATTTAGTGTTTTAGGCATTTTATAACCGAAATTTGGGTTAAAAACGAGTAGGGTGTGTGAGGTTAACGTTAGACATCGACGATCGCATGAATAAAAAAGACCTAGGTTAGTGATGTGCTAGGCACATAGTAGGCCGAGCTAGTCACATGCCGGGCGCATGATAGGCCGAGCCTACTAGCCGGGAGGTTATGTGTAAGGCCACGAGCCACGCGCTACCAATGCTTACACACATGGTGTGCCACGCCTTAGCCTAGGCATGCGAGGTTACCGGCCACGCACTCGTATGCTAGGTTGCTGGTCATAGGCAAGTGCACACGAGCACACCAAGCTAAGGGTTTGGGCATTGAAGCTCGTGGGCCCTCGAGGTCTAAAAGCCTATGGGCCCAATGCCTAAAAAGTTTTATAATGAAATTTAGAAAATTTTTGATAAATTTATAAAATGACCAAAAAATATAGATTTGTAATTGTTTTATGAATGAAATGTGTTTTATTAGTATGCCATGTATTAATGTGATTGAAGCATACGTAAATGGTTTGGATGAGTCGATCTAGTTTTATAAAATGAATGTTTATAATTTTTGGATAGATAGGATCTATGTGTTCCGTCTTCTCTTACATTCTGTTATATTTCTCTTTTCTTCTTACTCTCCTTAAATATAACTTAAGGTTTCTTATTCAAATAAATGTAAAAGTAGAAGATAAGAATTAGAATAGATGTAAAGAGAAGATGCCAAGAAATGAAGACATTTTTGAAGAATTTGTAATTCTTAATTTCATTGGTATGACAACTCGTTTGTCTTATCACATCTTATGTGAATACTAATCCTTGCTTATAAGTTTATTAGACCTCGAGTTATCTTAACAAACCCAACAACATATTTAAGTTAGACCCAATATTTGAGGACATCATATGGCCTAT